GATTCAACCCATAAGAAAAACATTAGCTATTTCAAGTACAATTATTACCACAACCATTATTTATTAAAAATTACTTAATTATTTAGTCCTTATAACAGCCTTAAAAACTAGGATATCCAATTTAACAGCTAATCAAACTAGGACTGAAAAACAAGTTTACCTAAGTATACTCAGTGCAATACTTAAGTGATAAGGCTGGGATTAGTTTTAGCAGTATAAGTGTAATTCTAAGCTGGTCATGGTGGCACACACCTGTAATCTTAGCATTCTAGGAGGCCGAGGCAGGAGGATCCATATGAGTTCAAGGGCAGCCTGGGCTACATAGTGAATTCAAGGCTAGTCTGAACTACATAGTGAGATCCTGTCTCATAAACAAATAATCAATCAATTCATCCAATTAAATGTAAATTCTGTTCTTTACTTTTTGTAGGTTGAACCAGTATGTGTTTTCAGGATTTCCTATAGGTTGACTCCCATCTGGCTCAAGAAAGTGCTAGGGAAAGCGTTAAAAGATTTTGAATGCAAATTAGTAGGAGCTGGTTGCAGGAGGAAAGAAACAAAATATGGCATATCCATAAAATTAGATTGGTGTATCAAAAGCTATTCTAGAGCAAAATGTAATTCTTAGGGCTGATTATTCCAGTGAGAGACTCAGGCAGGAGGATCATAAGTTCAAATGCAGCCTAGACAACTTAGACCCCATCTCAGAGTAAAACAAAAAAATTTAAAAGGGCTGGGGCATAACTCAATGTGCATTCAATTCCCAATACTGGAAAAAAACAAAATACAGAAATAAAAAAACATTGAGAAGAAACAAACATTATGAATAAAACTACATGGCCAAACATGTTTTAGGCTGAGTGCCACCAGTTGCAACTTCTAGTTTAAGGTAGGGAAGACTTAAGAACAACTTCTGCCTTTATCAACAGTGCTAATTTTTTTTAAAAAAGTATTCTTTAGGAGAGCAGAGCAGTCTTTCATTTAACATGTGCTTCCTTTTTCCTGTGTCCTTTTTTCTTGGTACCTTTAATCAGTTTCACTTTATGTCTGTCTTCATACTGTGCACTTTGAAGGGATGCAAAAGGTTAGCTTACTATTGGGACTGATCCTCTGCTCTGTAAGCAAAGAAATTTGACTTTGTTTATTCAGTATTTATTCAGCTGTATGGACTGATTCACTAGGAAACTTGATACTCTAACCAGAATGTCAGTTTAGAATTTATTGTGAGAGGAGGCTGGGGATATAACTCGGTAAGAAAGTGCTTTGCATGTGTGAGGTCTGGTTCGATCCCTAGTACCTTAAGACAAACAGAAAACGTACAGTGAGAAAATTACTCAGTACTGTTTCCAGAAGTATATGTCATCTTCCTACAGGCAAATGTAGGTGGGAGACCACGTTACAGTTCTCAGGTGTCTGCTAAGCAGGTAATCAAAGCAAGAATTGGTTGATCTTAATAGTTAGGGCCATTGACCTTGTGTACCTATTTCCACTGAACATTTCTGTTATATATACTTCTGGATCTGGTATAAGACATGTTTTATTCTGAACAATGCTAGGAATGTATTACTTAGTGTTTCCTAGTGGATCTTCTTTTTATAGGTGCTTTGCAGATCAACCTTCTTGTGTTAACGTGTCATTTTGTTTTAAGAGCAAAATAAAGAATAATGTGTATTAATGATAAGCTAGCTGGGCATGGAGATGCATGGCTGTAATCCCAGCACTTGGGAGGCTGAGGTAGGAAGATCACCACAAGTCTCAGGCCAGTGTGGGCTACATAGTTGAGCTTAAGGCCAGCCTGAAGTGCATAGCAAGACCCTGTCTCAAAAACAAACAACCCCCCCAAAAGACCTATAAGCTTTCATAGTTAAAAATGTATTAATGATTCCTAGCATTGTTCAGTTAAAAATCACAGTTCCAAGCCTATTACCTTGAATTCCCTCAAATTTTGATTTTGAATACTTTTTAACTTTAAAAAATTTATAAATTGACAATGTATAATTGTATATACTTACAGGGTTCAAAGGGATGTTATGATTTATGAACACTGGAATAGGCAAGTCAAACTAATTAACATATTAATCACCTTAAATATTTTTTTTGTGGTGAGAACATTTGAAATTTACTTAGTGATTTTGAAATGTACAGTACACTGTTATTAACTACATACAGGTGTGCACATACACACACACACACACACATACACACACACACATTTTAGTACTAAAGGTTGAACCTAGGGAGTGCTTTCAAAAATTTTTATATTGAGGGCTGGGGATTTAGCTCAGTGGCAAAAGCACCTGCCTGGCAAGTGCAAGATCATGAGTTTGATTCCTGGTACCAGAAGAAAACACCAAAACAAAAACAAAAACAAACAAACCCAAATTTTTATATTGAGACAAGGTCTCAGAAAGTTGCCCATGCTGGCCTCAAACTTCTGGTCCTTCTACTTCAGCCTCTCAAATAGCTGGAATTACAGGCATGGACTACCACACTCCGCTGTTGAGTTGCATAGACCACACTGTGCAGTTGACTGAAAAATAAACACACACACAGCTTACTCCTTCTGTCTGATTTTATATCCTTTGACCATCATCTCCCTATATCCCTTACAGCCCAGTCTCTCTTAACTGGCATTCCATTGTCTGCCTTGGTGAGTTTATTTTAGAGTCCACATATAAATGAGAAAACATACCATTTGTCCTTCTATACCTGGCTTATTTTGCTTAGCGTAGTGTTCTCCAATTGTATCTATGCTACAAATTAAAAATCTCCATTTCAAAGGCTGCTTAGTATTCCATTGTGTGTATATGCTGTACACCGAATTTGCTTTGTCTGTCTGTTGAGGGGTACTTAGGTCAAGTCCATGACCTGGCTGTTGTGAGTAATACTGCTGTGAACGTGGAGTGCAGACATCTCCTGGACAAACTAATGTCAGATCTTCTGGCTGCACAACCAGAAACGGGATTTCTAGGTCACTGATATTTCTATTTTTAGTAAGGTCTCTCTACACAGGTTTGCATAATGGCTATACTAATTTATATTCCCTCCAGCTGTATACCAGGGTTCCCTTTTCTCTACATCCTTACTAGCACTTACTGTCATCTTTAGACAAGTCATTCTAATAGGTATTAAGTGATATCTCATTGTAATTTTAATTTGCATTTACCTAATGATTAACACTGTTGAATATTTTTTTTTAATAAATCTGTTGATCATTTGTATGTTTTCTTTTGAGAAATGTCTATTTAGGACTCTTGCCTTTTTTTTTTTTTTTTTTCTTTTTTTTTGGTTTTTCTCCGGTACCGGGAACCGAACTCACGACCTTGCGCTTGCCAGGCAGCTGCTTTTGCCGCTGAGCTAAATCCCCAGCCCACTTGCCTATTTTTTAATGGTAGTGATGGTGGTTTTTTGCTATTGAGGTTTTTTTTGAAACAGGGTCTCACTGTGAAGTTCAGGCTTGCCTTGAACTCACTGTGTACCCCAAGATGGCCTTGAACTTGTGCAGTCCTTCTGCCTCAGGCTCCTAGTGATGTGATTACAGGCATGTGCCACCATTCCAGGTTATCCTGGACATTTCTTATAAGTGGAATTGTATGATACAAATTTGTAACTGGCTTCTTTGACTTAGCATGTTTTCAAAGTTCACCTAAGTTGTACCCTTTTTATGGCTGAGTAACATTCTGTTGTATGGGTATACCATATTTAATTTACCCATTCATCGTTTGATAGACATTTTGACCTGTCCAGTTTGAGATCATTGTGAATAAAGCTGCCATGAACATCTGCACACAGCTTTTGTCTGAGCATGCTTCTCTCTATTTTTGGCCAAGGAGTGAAATTGCTGCATCATACTTGATTTCTTTGTTTAACATTTTGAAGAGCTTTTGTATTATTCTCTGAAGTAACCAACTCTCATCTCAGCCCAGCACTGAAACAGGTTCACAGACACACATGCATTTCCCTCATCAGACATGTGATTTATACATATTTCCTCCCATTCTTCCAGGCTTCTTTTTACCCATTTGATTTGATAGTATTGTTTGCAGCACAAAATTTTTTAATTTTGATGAAGTCCAATTTATATTTTTTCTTTTGTCTCTCTGGTTTTAGTGTCATGGCTAAGAAACCATACTGCCTAATCAAGATCATAAAAACTATTCTATATTATCTTCTTAGGGTTTTACAGGTTTTTTTTTGTTGTTTTTGGTTTTTCTCCGGTACCAGGAACTGAACTCATGACCTTGCGCTTGCCAGGCAGACGCTTTGCCGCTGAGCTAAATCCCCAGCCCCTACAGTATTAATTATAACACTTAGGTTTCTCATTCACTTTGAGCTAAATTTTTACTGTTAGAGATTTGAGTGATGATGCCGGGCGTGGTGGCGCACGCCTGTAATCCCAGTACTCTGGACGCTGAGGCAGGAGGATTGTTGCGAGTTGGAGTCCAGCCTGGGCTACAAAGTGAGTTCAAGGCCAGCCTTAACTGCATAGCAAGACCCTGTCTCAAAAAAGACAAAAAAAAAAAAAAAGAGATTTGAGTGATTATAAAATATTTTTTCTTGTCCCTGGGAAGAATATACTGTTTTTACTCTTTCTACCAAGGGGATGGTGCAGCAAGAGGATTACTTCTATCAAATGAGGTTTTTTGTTGTTGTTTTTTAAATAAGGTTTTCATAGAGAAGGAGGTTGAAAGTAGGAATGACATACCAGGTATGTTGCAGAGTGAGATTACCAGCAGATCCCCAGTATCCTATCTCCCTCTGTAAACTTAAGCATGAGTTCCAATTTTGTCCATTTCAGAATGATTTAGAAGATCTGGGTGTGGTAGCTCATGCCTGTAATCCCAGCACTCGGAAGGGTGAGGCAGGAGGATCATTGTGAGTTCGAGACCAGCCTGGGCTACAAAGTGAGCTCAAGACCAGTTTGAACTGCATACTGAGACCCTGTCTCAAAAAAAAAAAAAACAAAAAAAAGAAGGAGAATGACTTAGAATAGTATGAGGAGTCAGGAGCTTTCATAGAACTCAGTTTTGCACATTATGTTAGTTGTAACTTGGAGGGCATTTATAATGGGTTTCCTGGTTTTCTCCTCAGCGGTCTCTCTGTTTGGTGTGTCAGCCCTGTTGCTCCCTGGGAACTTTGAGTCTTACTTGGAATTTATAAAGTCTTTGTGTCTGGGGCCTTCACTGATCTACACAGCAAAGTTTGCACTTGTCTTCCCACTCATGTACCACACCTGGAATGGGATCCGTCACTTGGTAAGTTAATTGTGGATTTGCATATTTTCTGAGTGGAAGAGCTGGTCATACGTAGTGATTCATGATTCTATTATACTGAGATTCTGATACTATTATACTGAGATTCCTAAACCTCAGTATTTAGGAAGCGGAAGCAGTGCAACAGTGTAATTTGGGTTGATGTCACACAAAATTGAAAGTTGAATTCAAGGACAAAGGAGATAGACAGGAAAGATGTCTATTAAGAAGAGAGAAATAGCTCCCAATAGTCAGGATGGGACCCAGATGGTTTACCAACAGGATACTCTGTAGGATTTTTTATATAAAAAGATGGCTAGGGCTCAGACTGCTCTGAGTCAAAATAAAGTCAACCTGTTAGACTAAAACACGCTTACTTAAACTAGAAATGGACCAGGTGTGGTGGCACATGCCTATAGTCCCAGCACTTTGGAGCCTGAGCCAGGAGGATCCCCACAAGTTCAAAACTAGTCTGAACTATATAGCAAGAGCCTGTCTCAAAAAAAAAAAAGAAGAAAGAAAGAGAGAGGGAGGAAGGGAGGGAGGGAAGGAAGGACAGAGGGAGGGAGGAAGGGAGGGGCCTATGAGGAGTCAAGGCAGGTAGCAAGTGTATGTTTGCAGGTGCCTCTTGGCTGCTGTCTTGTCTAAGTAGTTTATTAAAAGAGCAAAGTGAAAAGGAAAAACCATTTTCCAGATGGGTAGGAGCAGAAGCTGTCACAGTGGTCATCCATCACCATCATTATTACCTCGCTTGGACTTATTAACTAGTTCTTACTAACTCTTGACCTCAAGTTACTGCCTGTCTGACGAAGGCCTTGTCATCCTGACTGTACTGTGGCCCAGTGCTTCTTTAGCTGCCTGCTATCTTCTACCTAACTTGCCTGTCGGTAATAGCAAGAATATCGCTGCTCTTCAAGGCCAGCCTGGGCTACATAGCAAGATCCTCTTTCTCTCTCAAAGAGATACAAAACATACATACTTACATACAAACATTCTCTCTTTCCTACCCCCTCATCTTTTTTTTTTTTTTTTTTTTTTTTTTTTTGCGCAAGGTGGGAATTGAACCTAGTCCTCAAAAATGCTAAGCACATGCTATACCACTAGCGCTATCCATAAGATTAATAGTGCTGAACCTTTACTCAAGGTCATCTTGGGGAAAATTAGATAAGCCTCTTTTTACATTTCTAAATGGGCATAGGCCAAGCAGATATTTACAGTCTCATTGAGAACTTTTCCAGTCTTAAGAGACATATTATTAAAAGCAGCCACTGAAACTAGGTCAGTGTCTGGTGTAGAAGGCATATTTATTAGGTAAATAAGAATTTGGTATTCTTTATCTGTCAGGCACTGTTCTCGACGCTGGGAGGGGGTCAGTTATGATCTCCATACACACATCTGCTGCTTTTAATCTAACTCTTTTCAACTGAGATTAACAAGTCTTCCTGGATTCAAATATATTAACTTTCGTTACCTTGATACCAGATTTTGTTAACAGTTTCTGTTCCTTTTGAATGATTAGCAAGATTGGGGCCAACTTTCACAGAAACTGGATGCCAATAATCCCAGGTTTTAATTTTAGGCCGAGGAGTCTTTTAGTGGACTGGAAGCTGTCCTTGTTGCCTCCTGTATGACCTTGGTGTCAGTTCAAAACTGATATCTCTGGGTCTTCTAGTCAAACCTGTCCCAGGTCAGAGATTACTCCCTCATTCGGGACTTTGGGATTTTATAAATTTGTGGTCTCCCTATCCCTAGTCTTACATCCTACCCCAAGAAGACAGTACAGTTTTATTCCTTCTAGTTTTCCATTACTTCTGATCCTATGCCATCTGTCAGATGGATGTTTTTACCTTAATTTGATATTTTATGACTTCTGCATCACCACCTTGGGGACGGGCACTTTCTGGATTTTAATCTGGTCCAATAGACAGCTTAATGAAATAAAAAAAGGGAGCATCTAAATGACCTATTAAATTAAATGTATGTATCGATTTTTCCCTGAGGTGGTATTTGGTTTGATTTAAAAGGACTTCTCACTTCCCTCAGGGGAAGAGAATGGAGAGGGAGGAAGCTCTCGAAAGAAAATCAGCTGATCTGCTTCCTCTGTTCACACCCTAGCTCAGGCACAGATTTGCCATATGTTTGCTTTTGTCTCAGTATAGAAGGAGGGAAGGGAGAGTGGTTTTATAAAATTCCAGGCCTTAGTCTGTGCTTTATTGCCCCAGTTCCTGTTTATGGTGGTAATCTCTTTCTTGAGATAAGTGAGGAAGCAGAAGGCTTTTTCTTAAGCCCTTAAATTTGCTTTCCTTTTTTCTTCTAACAAGGACTGGCTCTGGGTATGGGTTGGTCTTTAACTGTTTCCTGGGACAGTCTCTTTTGGCTTCTGAGCTCAGAAGTTGTCTGGCCAGCAGAGCTAATGGGGGCTGGAGAGCAGTGTTGATGTAAGAGTGGGAGCATTCTAGACTGTCCTACCACCTCCACTCAGGGGGAGTCGGTTGATGGCAGAACACTGTGCCTTCATGAGCAGATCAGCTCTGTGGAATATGCTTGATTCATGATCTGATCTAGGGATGAAGGTAAGGGCATTGTCTCACCTTGTTCCCCATCACTACCACCACAGCTGTTCTCTAAAGTTACTCTTAGGTTAGTCAGTTCGATATGTGATATGTGTGTTGAGGCAGCTGTAGGGAAAACGTGAAACCAGAAGGCTTTACTCTTGTGCTAGAGGCTTTTTAGTGACTTATAGTATGCAGTGGTACCTCAGGTCATGTGTGATTCTGGAAAAGCTGGCCGTGTTTGTGTTCATGTAGTTAAGATGGCCCTGGTTGTATTGTCACCTGATGTAGAGTTCACAAACAAAAAACAAAATTTTGCCAGACAGTTCGGTTTGAAACCAAATTGTTCACCAACAAAAGCATTTGTGAACCAAGGTACCACTGTAATATGTTAATATCCCTAAAGCACAAGGAGTCTAGATTAATGGGTTTTAAGGTAGTAGGTAGAAAACGAGTTTAATGAGTTGCCATCAAAAAGAAGAAATGTGAACAGAAAATACAGAATGCAGCACCCATTAATAATGGTAAATATCGTTCATTGTTTCATGAATTTTTACTACACTATGTATATATCTCTACAGGGTTCCAGTCTAAAAGGTATTTCTTAGTGGGGTCATTGTCAAAACAAAATTGAGAAATAGTGTTCTATAGATGTGTTCTCTTTAAAAAGGACTTCTGTGAGTGACCTTATCATGAATATTATATCCCCTTTGGGAGAGCAACAATGTGCATTCATAAGTTGTTTGAGAATCTGATAGTTAAATGCTTGCAAAATTTATACGAGCACAGAACTTTACCCCTCATGATGCCTTACAGCATTATCCGGGACCAAGTTTTGGAGAAGTACCCTTTGGGTAAACATGGACCTAGATGTGTTGTCATGAGGAAAAGTTTTATCTTTTCAGTCTGGAAGCTTTTGTATGTAGAGTTTGGTATTCTAGAGAATGTTCCCCCTACCACCACCACACAATAGGACTAGATTTTCCATCACTGGCAGAGTGGGTATTAGATATCATATTGTGGGGTTTGAGAAGGGTGAAGGTGAGATTTAAGGATGAGTGCCTTTCTCTGCAATTGTGCATACAAGGGAACTGGTTCGAATAGGTAGAGAAATTCTAAGACAGGAGCTATGAGAGTGACCAGGGTCCTGATTACGGAATTTTTTTTCCTTTTTCTACAGATGTGGGACCTGGGAAAAGGCCTGAAGACTGCCCAGCTCTACCAATCTGGGGTGGCTATCTTGGCTCTTACTGTGTTGTCCTCTGCGGGGCTGGCAGCCATGTGAAGAGCTGACATTCACAGCATCATCTTCCTACAAATTAATTGTCACAAATTGCTTACCTTCCTGCTCGTCGCTCTTATCTCCAGCCAACAAAGTTACCTGATCTGTGTGGATCCTTCTGTGTTTGCAGATCCCCCTTAGCTCAGTAGACTGGCTTGTAAAACCACAATAATAGAAAGGGTCCAGTTTTTCCCTTGTTTCTCACGATGGAATGGCTGTAAAAACGCCCTTTTCTTACCCACAGCTTGCAGCCTACTCTGGGCCTAGAAGCCCTTATTCTCTCTCCACATTGGGCTTTGATTTGTGCTGAGGGTCAGCTTTTGGCTCCTTCTTCCTGAGACGGTGGAAACAATGCCAGCTCTGTGGCTTGTGCCATGGGGGCTGGGGGTGAGGCTTTGGGTGCCACTGCCTGTGGGTTGCTGGCTTAAAGGACAGTTCTGTTCATTGGTCAGAGCTCAGGGTCTTTAGCACCCACACAGTGTGACTGAAAGAAGGGAAGTGAGGATGGAAGGGAATTGTCCTGGCCCAGCTAGAGGGAGGTAAAAAGGATGGGATGGTTCTCGGAGCACGTGCCCTAGGAGGCATGGCTTTTGATAGAAGAGGAAGATCCAGAAAATTGTCATTAGCTGTTTTTGTCTCTGGTTGATTTTTGTTTTGTTTTGTTTTGTTTTGTTTTTGCATTTATGGGAAAAAAAAAATCCCTTCTATTGTCATGTTTTCTAATCCAAGTTCATGTACCATCTTTTCTGAAACAATTAAAATACTTATTTTATCTTTCATTTTCCTTAAATCTAGAGAAATCAAGAGGACGGTTCAGGTGCTAACCCCCACCCTCCACCCTGTGACCTTTCCCAGAAGGGAAACAGTTTGTCCTACAACTGACCCACTTCAGAGAATCAAATACATGTAGCAGGAGAATTAAATATCATAGAGAAGCCTCGGAAAAGGCAAGATGAAAAGAAAACTTGTTGCTTTTATAATCCATAGAGGTCGGGCTTTTGGGCCCCTAAATCCCTTGGCAGGAACTCTGTTCTCAATAATCTTTGCAAATTCTGGAGTGAGAAATCCACCTTCCTGTCCTGGGTTGTTGGGCAACTAATTAACTGCAGCTTGGAAAGGAATGACTGTGGCATTAGCGGATGACAGATGGGCAAGAAGACCTTGCTTAAGACAGTGGGAACTGCTCCCTCACCAGTGTATCCCACATAGTCTGGCCTTTTTGCTAGATGGGTCCTCAGTAGTCTTGTGGTCTTCCTCCTGTCCTCTACTTTGTCCTTTGAGGGAGTGACACATGTTCACGAGGGAACTCTTTGGCATTAGAATTAGGAAAATGCTTGGCAGGGCATTAAATTTAATAGTACCAGGAAAATGCAGAATGGGGTCAGTGATAAACATATTTTGGGAGCTGGAAAATAGGGACATTTTGGCCTTTTTTGGGTGGCTTTTTACCATTCCACAACTGGAGAAGGAAGCAGATAGGAAGCAGAGCATAGTGTTTTTTCTGCCCTGAATTTCTACTTACCATCACTTTATTTTTCTTCTGTGTCTTCTGTTCACTTCCGTATCTTCAGTTTTCAAAGTGTATGTGCTTTCTCTTAAACATAAAGCCATAGGCAAGAGTAGCATCTTCTGCCGTGTGTATGTGTGTGTGTGTTTGTGTTGCTAGGGTTCAAACCCAGGACCTCACACATTCTAGACAAGTGCTCTACTGTGGAGCTACACCCCAAGCTTCTGTATCCCTTTTCTTCCACTATCTCTGAACACACACACACTTCCTTTGCTATACAGTTTTAATTTTGAAGTTGTAAGCTGTGGCCTTAACACTTTTTTTTTTTTTTTTTTTTGGTTTTTCTCCGGTACCGGGAACCGAACTCACAACCTTGTGCTTAGCCAAGCAGGCGCTTTGCTGCTGAGCTAAATCCCCAGCCCCCTAAGTTGTAAGCTGTGAATACTCAAGATGAAAAATGAAAGGGTAAGAGAGAGGATTAATTCTTTAAGGTTCTGCCCTTTTGCTGTGACTAGACCAGTTTTCTCTTGGTCATTTCTGGAGTATAACTGACTCAATCCTTGAAAAGATGTGTTACACCCTAACCACTATAGTGTTCTTTTTCCTACTCTATTTCCCCCAAACCTCTTCTAATTGAATTGAGAGAGGAGAAAATCCAGACCATTCAGATTCAACAAACAACGTTTATTGTCCAAATTTGCCTTTACTCCTGTCCCATAATTTTTCTGTTCTGCATTCTGACCAGAGGATCATGTTTACTTCAATTCAGACTCTGGACAGCTTTTCTCAGCGTGGCCCCTTGATCCCCTCGGACGTTCCAGGTTTGCAGTTTTGGATCTCAGCTAGATTAGGACCTGCTTCCAGGCACACAGGGCTTTCCGGTGCAATTTCAGGAGAGTTGAGTGGGGTTTGGGGACCTGGAGTGTGACCTGCAGAGGGATGTGAACTTTGAGATTCTTCTGAGCAATTGAGATTAGTTGGGGAGCTTGGAATTACAGTTGGACATGGTGCTTGTTGTACCGTCTTTGTGGTAGACTTCTTTCTGGGTTTCTTCTCACTGTCTGGATCATGGGGCTATCAGGGATAGAGTGGAAGAGACATGTTTATAGCCAGGTCCGGATGATTCCCAGTCCACCACATAATTCTAACTCCATCTTCCCATACCATGGGCAAAAGGGCAGTTTTCAAATAAAAATAGTTCAATTTGATTCTTCCTGGAAAGTGATTAGGGGTTAGATAGGATAAAATGGATTTGGTCAGAGGTTCTCCTGCTGGGGGAGAGGTGGCATGATGCTAAATTTTTTTTTAAGTTTGAAAGGAAATGGGGACAATAGGGTTTGGGGTTAAATGAGAATAGATACCTTGCCTAAGACTTCCGGGCGCAGCCCATTACAAGCCTTGAGTAAATCAGGATTTTTCTGTATCCATTTGGTGAGTGAGGCAGCACCAGCATTTGACCGGGCAGTCAAGGTCACCCGAGCAGGGGGTATCTTCAGAGGCATTTGCCAGGTGCCCACAAAGGAACCCCAGGGACTTGCCTGAAAGGAAAAGGGATTTCTCAGAGGAGCTTCTCACTGCAGTAACTGTCCCGTTGGCAGGAGCTCTCCTGCTCTTCACTCCCATTCTTAAACCTTAGGGAATACATGTAATGAAACGAGCTAAAAGCATAGTTTCCCCCACTTTCTCCTCTCTGTCATTTAGGTTAGCCTAATTTTTTATCCCTTTCCCTCAGCCAGTTTAACTTCTACATCTTAAGGCCAATTGTGGCAAAAGAGTCCCCCACCGTGGAGGTATCGTCACCTGAAAACACTCATTTTTTCAATCGTTCATCCATTTAAGGGCCTGTGCGTGCTAAACACAACTCTGCCCTGTTGGATAAACTGGTTGAAGCCTGGAGCACTTACCTTTCCATGTGAATTAGATTGAATTTTAATTTTCTAGGTTAGTCCTCAGTTCTTTACCTTTGTTGATAGGACTGGAGACATATCTTACCTTGGAGCGGGGCACAGAAGGCAACAGATGACCACGATCATTGGCGATAATCTGAGTGTAGCCTTCATGGGAAGAGATGCTCTGGGGTGGAGGGAGGGGAAATGTGTGCTCGTGAGTGGAAGGGGGAAGACAACAGCAACAACAGAGGGAGGAAATATCTGAGGGGCTTGGATGAAGGGGAAGGAGAAGATGGACACTTAGAGAAAGCTAAAAGGAGTTAGGTGCAGGGAATTACAGAGAATGTGATGTAAAGAACCATAAACTGGCCTTGTAGGGGTGCTGAACTTAGAATACCTCTTTTGTCGGCTTGGCAAGAGACCAATTCTGCAGATACTTGGGTGAGAAAGCTTTTTCGTACTGTGGAGAGAAAGATAAGCCCTGTGAGGCCCAAAGGCCCCAGCTCGGGGAGTGATGGGATACGGTTCCTTAGATTTGAAAACCGAGGGCCTGAAACATGTACATGCTAACTTACTATACCAGGGGTATAATCTGGTTCAGATGTATGCTGTCTCACAAGCAGTCGGCAGCCACATACAGCTGTTGAGCACTTGAAATGTGCCTAGCCCAAATCGAGGGGCTTGGCAGATATAAAATACACTGGATTTTTAAGACTTAGAACTAAAAAATCAAGTGTAAAAGATTATCATGTCAAAATTACTGATTGAATGTTGAAATGTTTTGCATTTATTGTGTTAAATATATTGAACTGGGCATGATGGCGCATGCCGATAGTCTCAGCACTTGAGACAGAAGGATGTGAGTTTGAAGCCAGTCTGGACTACATAGCAAGTTCAGGGCCATCCTAGATTATTATATAGTGACAGTGTCATAAAATTTTTTTGATAAAAGGGTACACTAACTTTGAATTCCAGTTAATCAAAATAGCTTCTCACCTTAAAGAATTCTGCTTTTTTTCATTAGTATTACAAAAAAAGTTGTACTCAGTAATTATATTTTAGAATTTTGACAGAGTTTCATGGAAAAATATTTTCTCTCATGTAAGTTCTACAGCATATCTTTGACTTCGCTATTTGACCTGCAAAGCATAAAATGCTTATTCTCTGGCCTGGTACAGAAAAGGATTGCTGACCTCTGGTTTGCTACCTACACATTTAACCCATAGATGCCTTTTGCTTTTTTCAGGGGCCTCCCAACTTTAGTTTCCCAGCACCCTTAATGTCTCTCCAGTGATCATAATCCGATGGGAGGTGTCAGTTCAAAAACAGAATCTAGAAGGCAAGATTAAATGTTTAAGGAATATGTTAAAGAAGAGAAGAAAGAACTTACCTGGTTGGCACTGTAGTTAGAGGCCATGATCCTGTGCTGTTTACGTTCGTTGCCAGGCAACAGCGGAAGGCGGACCTTCTGGGACTACCTCCCAATCAGCAGGAGTTGGCTTTCTGTTTCTTCCTAGGCTCACATTGCTTCCATCCTTTCTCAGAAACTCAGGCTTCTTTTCATTTTAGAGATGTGAGGGATTGAGTAAACATGAGAAAGTTAGCGAAGTAGCAGTCTTTTTTTCTAGCATAGCTTAGTTTTGCTTCAAACTTGAAAGTTGTCCTTGACCAGCGTCTTTAACCACTTTAACCATAGAACCCCAAGGGCTAGCTTCATTGGGCAGTGTGTCCTAATGAACCACAGACTGGAGAGCTAGAAATTGGACTTGTTCATTCAACATGAGGACATAGGAGCTACATGGCCTTAAGCAACTGATTTCACTTAAGTAAGTATGATCTGCCTCAGTTGTATTGTGGAAATAAAGAGCCTGATTTTACAGGGTAAGTGAGAGAAAGTGAATAAAGTATCTAGACAGTGTCATAGAATAGCAGTATAACACTGCTGTGACACTTAGGGGAAGGTGTCAATTTGATTGGCTTTGGGACCCACCCTTAAGGGGAACTGGTAGTACACACTTCTGGGTGGGTCATGGAGGCATGGCATGGGGATGTCATCTAGGTCTTGTCCCTCACCCCTTCCTCTCCAGCTCTGTTCCTTTGCTCTGCTTTAGGGCTGTTACGAGCTGAGCTCTGCCATGCTCTTCTGCCATGATGTTCCTGCCTGAAGCCAGTTGCCTATGGGCTGAATCCCCCAAAACGTGAGCTAAATAAATCCTCTCATTTAAGTTTAGGTGTTGAGTATTGTGCTTCAGAGATCAGAAAGCTGATATAACTGTAAGATACTGTTTATAGGTCCCAGTATTTTATTTTCTCACAGTAACAGGAACAATGTCTAAAAAGTGGCTGATTCACATTTCTTCCCAGAAGGAAAAATATATCCTGTCCTTGCTCCACCACTCTCCAGAATCACAGAGCCTAGGAACACAGGTGCTTAGTGTTGGCTGCTAAGGTGGAATGAGGACATGGCACAGGGAGATGGGGCGGGGCTGGTGAGAGAAACAGTGAAAGCAGCGAGTTTGGAGAGTCACGTGGATGTGCCAGGACACTAGCCTAACATCAGTAGGACTAGGCAACCTGTCTGCAATTCATCTAAATTGATATTATAATGCCTGTCTACAGAGTTGTTAGGAGAATTAATGAGCGAATGGAACTGCTTTTTTAATTGTATTATTGTAAGGTGTCAAAATGAAAACACTAAGAAATAAGGCTGTAGCTTGTCAGTAAAAAGTTGGTTTCTGTGTGGGGTGACAGGTCCCAAGAACGAGGTGCAGCAGATGAAAAGAAAAACGAGAGACAAAGTTATGGGATCAGCGGGGCTACAGCCTCTAGAACTAAAGCCTTGATTACAATTTTCTTAGGCTTTTATTAGGATTCTTACAAAAAGCAGGGACAGGGGAAATTGGAGGAATCATTAACAGGATAAGTGAGGGCAATACAGCTTAATTATCACAGGAACTGAAGTTTGACTTAGCGAGCCATCATGTCATCATTCCTTCGGACATATCTCAGCAACACATCTAGTGTTGTCCCAGTGGAAGGTCCTGCTTTCATTTCCTTTTACACTAATGCTTTTGCTAGACTTCCTCCAGAAACAATCATATGGCTTGGTCAGGCTCAAAGTCCTATATAGATAATACATTGAAAAGTAAACTATACAATATCTTTCTCCACAGTAGCTGGGCTAGTGGCGCCCTCTATAATCCCACCTCTCTGGGAGGCCAGAGGACCACAAGTTTAAGCCCAGCTTGGACAATTTAGTGTGACTCTATCTCAAGATTAGGAGGAAAAAGAGGAATGGAGGGGAGAAAGGAGAAGAAAAAAAAAGGATGAAGGAAGGAAGGACAGAGAGATTGGGGATATAGCTCAACATGAAGACTCCCCACAACCACAAAAAATAAAGTTGTCCAAAGAAATAGTTGAGACCAGGAGAGTGCTGGGATGACAGGTGTGTGTCACCACACCTGGCTTTAACCTAATCAAATGTATTAGTCACTTTCCTGTGGCTGACACCTGTAACTTGTTTGTTTATTTATTTATTTATTTTTGTTGTACCAGGGATCGAGCTCAGGACCTTGCGCTTGCCAGGCTTGTGCCACTGAGCTACATCCCCGTCCCTAGGACACCTGTAACTTAAAGAGGTCTATTTTGGCTCACAGTTTCAGTGTTTTCAGCCCATGGCTGGCTGGCTCCAAGACAGAAGTGGCACTGCAGAACCACATGAAAGGAAAGCTGCTCCCTGTATGGTGGCCAGGGAGCTGAGAGCAAAGGGAGGAGCCAGGGACAAGAACACAGCCTTCTGGGTCACACCACCTCCAAGCAGACCTCACCTCCTACAGGAACAGCATGTTTAGGTCACCTCCGTGACCCTATCACCTTTCACACCATGAGACTCTGGGGCAATTTTAGATCTAAACCATAACATAAAATGTGTTGAATTTTAGTCTTCAAGTGAAGTGATTGATTTCAGGTGACTAGAATCAGATTTAACTCTTCCAAAGTTAGAAGAGTTCGTCAAGGTCCCAACCCAAAAATACACCTTGACATATTTCCCCTCACTTAACTTCTGATGCCCAAGGTTAGACACTAGGAAATTTTTTGTGTGAGTTGAGATTACCCCCTTGAAAGTACAGGTTTGTTTCCAATCTATAGGCCATGTATCAACCAGACCAAAGTGACAACCACCACGGAAGTCCTGGAGTCAACTTGCCTGGGAAATGCTGGCTCTACCTTAAGTGTGAGAACTTGAGCAAGTCAGTCTATCTAGGACCTTATATCTAAAATGATGATAATCTTTTTGAGCATTAATTATACACAACACACCTAGTAGGGTGCCTAATGTATGTGAGTGCTCAATTTTAGCATTGTTATTACTGGTTTAAGACTATCTGGTGAGAAAAACCTACTCAGTCTACCTTAAGGGGGGCCATTATAAAGTTATGGGAGTATTTAACATATTCCAAAAGTAGGAAGTATAGTTTGTGCTCAGCGGATACAAGGATTTAGTAGGTAGGCTTTCTTTTTTCTCCTTAATCACCTCTTTTTTACTGCAATCACTCTTATTCCTCTGTAAACCAGCCAAGATGATTTGCTCCCAAGTTGAGCACCACTGAGCTGATAATCTGTTGTACCCAGAAAGTCTGACTAATAGGAGAAAATGGAGAGAACAAAAGAATTCTGGTCAGTTTAAGTGGGGAGCAACTGCAGACTCTGCTGTTCTTGTTCTGAATCAGGAGTCTTTAAAACAATAATGATGAACCTGGGTATGGTGGCACACACCTGTAATCCCAGTACTTGGGAGGCTGAGGGAGGTGGATCATCGAGAATTTGAGGCCAGCCTGAACTACATAGTGAGGCCCTGTCTCAAAAAAAAAAAAAAAAAAAAAAATTAAATTAAATTGTGAAGTCGAGGATGTAATGATATTTCCAAGTTGCCTTCCGCAAAGCTTTTACCACTCAGCCATATAGTTCTCTGGCAGACTTCAAAGCCTTGCTAGATTGATTAGTGCCCCAGGTTGTTTGCTTTCATCCAAAACAACTTCCCAGATACTAAAAACACTATGGTAATGCTGAGGCAGGAGGATCGTGCAAGTTCAAGACAAGCCTGGGCTATAAAGTGAGCTCAAGGCCAGCCTGAACTGCAGAGTGAGACCCTGTCTCAAAAAAAAAAAAAAAAAAAAAAAAAAAACAAACCAAAAACCCAAAAAACAAAACAAAACAAAACAAACCCACTATGGTAGCTTATCTAACAAAATTGTGTGAATTCCTCAGAATTTTGTACTGCTAGATAAACTACTATAGTTAGTGCTTTCCAATGTATAAGTTTAGCCCAAAACTCAACTTTTAATGTGTTTTTGTTCTCAAGGCAAAGTTTTAAAACCAGAATAATGATGAGAACAGATCAGTAAAGACTCAGGCATCTATTACACAATTTGACCTACTGAGTCACTGCCTGCACTGAAGCCATCAGCTCTCCAGCTTTCTTCCCCATAGCTCCAAGATACCCTATTCATTTTGGGGGGTGGGGGGGATGGTGGCAGGGGGCAGGGATTAGTGTTAAGCACCTGATTTTTGGCTCTTTTTTAGGGGTGACAGGATCTCATCCAACCAAGCTACTGGCCAATTCTGAACTATTCATACCCCTGAGCTGTTGTAGATTTCCTTATTGGATTTGAAACCATAATGCTGTACCCAGTAAGCCTGGAAGAGATGCATGGCTGCGAATATAAAACTTCTCTGTAAATAACTAAGCTCATTTCCTTTCCTGAGACTAAGGCTCCCTCTAATGGAGATTGCTGTTACATCTCCCTCCAGCCCTCATGTGTAACAAAAGAATTCTATTTTTTCAGTGTTTTTTTTTTTTTAAATTAGCATCTATTAATTTTGCAAATATTAGATTTTTTTATTTTAAAGAGTAAAAGAAGGATAACATAGTAATAGAGGGGCTTACCAGACTACAGACAAAGTGGTAGGAAATTATCAATGGTCGTTGTTTTACATATTGTTATCTACAAGATAGTTTCTCAGGAAAACAAATAGACAAATAATAGTGAGTTACAGACAGAAGTGGTAGGAGATTATCAATAGTTGTTGTACTTAACTTTGGTATTTTCAAAGTGGCTTCTAAAGAAAATAAATAGAGCTATACATGAGTGACCAACTGAATAATCATTGAATATTCTCAATGGTTGCTGTAGGAAACACATAATAATAAACATACATCCATTTACAAAATAGCATAGGAACAATACAAACATTACAGAGTTATGGACAGATTAGTAGGAAAATATCAATGGCTGCTGTAATACATGGTGGTATCTTCAAAGTGGTTTCTCAGGAAAACAGAGATACACAAGAAAGATCTAACAAGTAGTTACAGCCTAAGGGTTGTGAAAAATAGTGTATTACCTCCTCACCAGTGACTCCTTTCACTGAGGTGTGACGGCTGGAAGGAAGGCCAGGATTGAAAAGAAGGACCGAGAGACTTGCACCTGTGTCTAGCATCAGGCTGTTTTCTTTTTCTTTTATAGTCATGATTACCCAGGGCTCCTCCATGGAGATGACAGTCTGGCTAGAGGGAGAAGGCAGCGTATGCCCCGGACCCCCTCATTCCTGTTGGACTACCTGGTAGGATGGGTCTGAGCTCTGGGGCCTCTGCTTCAGAGGGCAGACTGATCTCCAGTGGTTCCCTTTGCGTTCAGGGCATGGCCCAGGCATCTTAGGGCAGTTCCTCTTGAGGTGGCCTGGCTTTTAACAGTTGTAGCAGATGAATATAGTCGTCGAGTTCTTCTTGGGGCCCCGAGAATCAGACTTAGGGTCTGTTTCTCTTAGTGCTACAGCAAAAGCAGCTGCTTTTTCTTGGTCTCTTTGTTTTCTCTCCTTGGCCTCCTCTTTGTCATGGCTATAGAATACTGAGGAGGCAATTCTTACTAACATCTCAAGTGAGCCATTTGGGGCAAAAGCCATTTTTTGTAGCTTTTTCTCTCCAGCCTCCCATCACATTGGGACCCCACAATCAGTTAGTGTCCTCTCCCCAACCATCAGCACAGGAAGCAGGAATCTTGATGCAGGCCTCTCTGAGCTCCACACGCTCCTCCACCACAGCCTGTACTGTCAGGGGAAGAATGGCTTCCAGGGGGGTCTCCCCAGGTATTGCACAAGGTCCTTCTGGTTTCCAGATTCTGAACAGCTCTCGTGACCCGGTCAACTAGACCTCTGAGTCTTCAGG